ACTGACAAAGTGACATACTTGTTTCGCACTTCCACCCATCATGGGCACATCAGATTGAAGAGAACATACCTTGTGATTTCGATCGAGACCGTTTAAATGTGAATTGCTCATGTTCCCATGCGGGTGATGACGGCCAAATAGCATCTTCCCCGCTCCCGGGGAGCCCCATGCCCGACCCGCGCCCCAGCTTCAGAGACTGTTCGGGAAGCTACGGGAGTGCATGTGTTTGGTACTGAGTCGCAGCCGCATCTCCGTTCCACGTATCCGTTCCACAGTTCCGTTCCACCATATTTCTACGAGCTCCTCTGTCGTCCTTGACGTGAACCGAAAACTCAATCGCGTCAAAAGTACAAATGCATGACGTGGCTCCTGCGGATTTGTTCTGCCGCCGCCCTGCCATCTTTAACAAGATCCAACCAGTGTTCAAACCACAGCGCATACAGTGGAGACCCATGCCAAGAAACTCCCTGCTTGCCTCCAGGGAGCCCTGGGTCTCTTGGTTTTCGATGGTTTCGCGATGGAAAGGGTGACGTTCCCACACCGAAAATCACTCAACGTCCCGGGGTCTCTCAGGGTTGGGTACCTTGTGGAAGGTTTCTTGTGGACTGGCCTCTACTCTACTTCCTTGCCGCGTGGATGTTCCTGAACGTAAGTTTGCTCGGGTAACTCACCAAGATCGCTTGAAGCTTGTCGCCGATTGCTGATCAGGATCGACGTCTGTCTCCCGCGGCCAGCAATTCTTACCATTTCTCGATGTCCCATGCCAGTATGCAGTACAAGATGGCCACATAATGTAATCGAGCATTACACACAAACGCTTCAATGTACTCTGCTTGATTGAGAACGGTGACAACATGGTCGATACTTAACCACATCGAGTTGTACCCCGCTTCTGCATCTCTCTTGTGCGCAAACGTTCCCAGCGATCAAAGTCAGCGCACTGCATGGCTCAGCAGCGGGGAACACACGAAGCAGATTATGACCATTCCCTGCATGAGGAATTTGCTGTAGACATGCCTGCTCCACGTGCTGTCGGAAGGAATGCAGCCAACAGTTGATACCATGATCCACGGTGTAAAAGCATGGAGGTGTTACCCACCTTTCGATGCGATAGCCCCATTGTCGTTCACTCCCCGACCGCGGAGCAGTCTTCTTAGCAATTAGACAACCTTTTCAGACTCTTCGAGATTTGGTAGTATAACTGGTAAGGTGCTCTCACAAACAAGTTTCGGACTGCATTGCGTTCAAAGCCACATCGTACCGTAGCTTATCTGGTTCGAAGACGGACTGCGTCTGATGCTGAAATAGTATTACACTGGAAGCCCATGCCAAGAAGTACCCTGCTTGCCTCCAGGGTGCCCTGGCTTTCTTGGGTTTCGATAGTTTTGCAATGGAGTACATGACATTCCTATGCCAAAATCAATGGACGTCCTGGGGTCTGAGGGTTGGGCTTCTTGTTGAAGGTTTTTTTGTGGTTGAGCTCCTACTGCATTGTCTATGCGTGAGGACGCGAAGCCCATGTTCATCACAAGCGAGAGCCAGTCCACGGCACCTCGCCAGTCGTGTTGACCTGCGCTAGTGTGCACGGCAGGAGTTGACAGATCGGCAGGAGTGCACCGCCCACCAAACCACCCCAACCCAACCCGAAAGCCCCGATTTGCCCTCCATTCCCAGTGTGGGGGGGTCTCTAGGTCTCCCAGATGGGGTCCGAGTGGATGGTGTCGGAGGATCGCGCCGCATCGCCAATGCATCCGCGATGCGGTTCGATGTGGAGCCCGATTTGCTTCACGTCGACGTCGCCGATGCATCGCCGACGTCGACGATGCATCGCTGGTGCATCGCCGATGCATCGCCGATGCATCGCCTCTGCATCGCCGATGTATCGGCGATGCGGCGCGATCCTTCGACCCCATCTACTCCGAACCCATCTAGAAGGCCTCTAGTGTCGGGGAACATGGAAATCACATACGAAGCCCGTACCCCCCCCATCCCGAAATTCGGGTCTTCGGGTTGGGTTGGGGTGGTCTGGTGGGTAGTCAGGGGTGTGCTAGATGTTCTTTTTCCTCCTCCTGTGCAACATTGCCTTCTTCCTGTTGTCCGCCGTTGCCAGTGGCCGTTCCCTTCCGACGGCCCTTTGAGTCGTAGTCTGTGGCGCTGGTGCGCGCGGCAGCGGGGATCGCAGGAGCTTGGCTCCTGCGGCGTCTGCGGTGCCTGCGGCGGCTCCGGCGGCTTTGCCTGCGGCGGCAGCTGGCCTCCGTCTCCTCCGCCTCCGCCTCCACCTCGTCTTTTCGCGCGCGCGCACGCGGCAGCGGGGATCGCAGGACATCGGCTCCTGCGGCGCCTGCGGCGGCTGCGGCGGCTGCGGCGTCTGTGCCTGCGGCGGCTGTGCTGCGGCTCTGGGGCAGGCGGCGCCCGGGCTGCTGGCTGGCCCCTGGCTCGTGGTCGTCGTCGCCGCCGCCGTCGTGGCCGAGGCGTCGTGGCCGCCTTGGCCGTCATCGCCTGAGGAGAGCGGAGAGCAAGGAAGGAAGTAGAGAGGGAGGAGGAGGAATATTTTGAGGGGGGATGGATGGATGGAGGGAGGGAGGGTGGGCGGGAGGAGGAGGAGGAGGAGGAGGAGGAGGAGGAGGAGGACGAGGAGGAGGAGGAGGAGGAGGTAGAGGGAGGAGGAGGAGGAGGAGGAGGAGGAGGAGGAGGAGGAGGAGGAGGAAGAGGAGGAGGAGGATGACGAGGAGGAGGAGGACGAGGAGGAGGAGGAGCAGGAGAATAAACCTCTATGGGATGTGCTCGGTTGAGGACGCGACCGCGAAGGGCACAGGGTAATCGAGGCGGGGGGCGACGCTGTTTTTCCTGCTGCCCCCCCCCGACACGGAACAAGGTTGCGGTGCGCATTTTTTTTCCACATGGCACTCTTTTGGGGATGGTTCTGGGTGACTGCGCTCCTGCTCGCCCGTCGCTCGTGGCCTGACTGGCTCCGCATGGAGCCGTCAGTTGTATGCAAGGGCTGATTTTGATATCGGGCACCCGCCCTCCCGATCTGGCTAAAATCTGGTCCACAATTCGCTTCGTCCCGCCGGGAACTTTGCACTGCCTGAGGCACGGCAGTAGCAAGGATGAGATGCAGACCCGCTCAAATGGCTGGCAGAAAAAGGAAGAGAAAGTCTACGACGGAACTCACTGTGAGGTGACTGGTACATTCCTCGTTCTGGACATACTTTGGACAAGTGTTCTTCAGCCTGGCACCCGCCCAGGACCTATGAACATGTCTGGGGTGCGTGCTGGGCCACAAGAGGAGTGTGGAGAGGTTGGTGTTTTCAGGGGGTTTCCCAAGCTCTGAGGCATGTGTCCCACCACCCTACGTCTTCCTTGTCCAGCCTTGTGCATTCCTCGGCCTGAACACTTGCGACAAGTGCATTTGGGCCTGGCACCCACCCATAACCTATGAACAGGCCTGTGGTGCGCGCCCGCGGGCCCCCTGCCGGCCCAGGCTTGGTGACGTCGTCGGCGCCGCCGTCGCCGTGGTCGGTGTAATCGTTGGAGAACGGAAGAGAGGATGATGAGACCTCTGGGGGTCGATGTCATAAAAAAAATCATGACCTCGGGGGTCTGGGACGACATCAGGAACTGGTGGATGCACTGGGCCACGGGTGCCCCGCACGGGGCCGCCGCTTGCCCTGCCGGCGTCCAGTGCTAAGACTTCGCGGTTGCGCCAGCCGCTGCTCAGATCGCCCAGGCGTGCGCCCTCGCTTCGGGCAGGCTGGCGGCCCATGATCGCGCTCTGGGCCTTCTTGGCGGCGGCGCGGGCGGCGGTCCTGGCCCTTGCGCCGCGCCCGGTGCTGCCATCTTCGCCGCGGCCCCAGGTGTTGGGCCCCCGGAGGCGGCGTCGCCGCCGGCGCGCTGCCCGCGATGGCCGCGGCCGCAGCCGGAAGTGCTGCCCCTGCAGCCGCGCCCGTCGCCGCCCCCGTTGCTGGTGCCGGGCCCCGTGGCCTGGCCGCCCGTGCTATGCCAGTTGGCGGGCCTGAGGCTGGGGCGTCCGCCTTGCCCGTCGCTGCCAGACTATCCGGCGGGGCATCCGCGGGGCCTGCAGCCGCCGCCGCTGCCAGCGGCGGCGACCTCCGTTTCCTCGCGACAGCATGACCCAGCGCCCTCGCGAGTGCCGGGATAGCGCGCATCTCAGGCGGCGTGCCCGCTTCCCCGACTGGCCGGGCCGTGGCCCCACGGCGTGCCACTGGGTCGCCTCCTACCAGTTCAAGAATGGAGGTTTGCTGCTTGGGCATCGCTTTGGTTGGGTGGCGGCTCTTGCCGCTTCGATGCCAGTCACCGACCCCATCGTCAGCGCGCCCTACGAGTTCGCAAAGACTACGCTGGTGGCTCAGTCGTATGACCAAGTCGATGGCCTCAAACTGTTTACGCTCGAGCTGGTCACTGTAGGTCCGCGGTGAGCGCTACATGATCACGCCGGTCAGCACTCACGCCTCCATGTTTGGAGGCGACGAGCAGCTCTTCTTCAGAGGGACGCAGTCTACGCGTAGGGTCATGGTGGCCCCCCTTCCTGCCGAGTGGATCGCCAGGCAGCTCGCCGCCGAATCGGCCGTCGCGAAGGAGCGCCGCAGGGCGCGAGAGGAGCGGCACCTGCTCCACCCGCCCGCCTCTGGTGGCAGCGGCGGCGGTAGCAGAAGTGGCGGAGGCTGTGGCGAGGCCAAGGCCTAGCCCTCCCGCGCTCATTCTTTCGCAGTGGCTGACAGGGCCGTGGCCTTTCCCGTCGGCTCCCTCCAGGCCCTTCCTTCCTGCTGTGGCGGCCCCCGCGCCATCGCCAGTGGTCGTCAGTGAAACGTTCTCACTCTTCCTCGCCTACCTGACGGACCCCTGCCTGGGCCTGGTCAGTGCGCCTCCGCTGCTTGGATTGCCTGGGCCAACGACGAGGTCGACGCGCTCGACCAGCTGGGCGGGGGCGGCTCGCCGCCCGCGCGCGAGCGAGCTTCAGTTTTGCAGCGGCAGTCCCTCGATTGCGTCGCTGATCAGTATGTCAGGTTCGCAGACGCCGTGTCCGACCTCTGCGCCAGTCGGCCGCTATATTATGCTGGTCGCGGCAACGTGGTGTCCTGCAGCAGGAGCCTCGTGCCCTGGCTTTCTTGCGGCTCAGCGCCCGTTGCGTTGGAGTCCGCCCTGCTGGAGGCTGACCGCGTGTGGCTGCAGGGCTGGGAGGCCCACGTGCTTCGCCCGCCGGGAGAGGCAGCGGCTCTGCGTCGAGATCTCGGCCTCGCCCCAATTTCTTTTAAGCTAGGTCGTCCTATCACCTATGGCGACTTCATCGCCGAGCTGCTGAGCCGAGGGATGCCGCGGCTGTCGCGAGCCAGTGGCCATCGAGGGCTTCATGGCGTTTTCGTCGTGGCCAAGATGTCCGGCCAGCAGCGACTCATCTTCGACGCGCGCGTCTGCAGCGCCCGCTTCAGGCCGCCCCGTTGCGCTGAGCTCCCCAGCGCCAGCGGTTTCTCGCGAATGGAGACGCAGGGATGCGGCGACGCGTGGTTTAGCAGTGGCGACATCTCGAACGCGTTCTCCGCCATGCAGGTTCCGGAGGGCTTCGGCGAAATCTTCTCCCTGCCGCCTGTGCAGGCGGGGATTGCTGACGTGTCTCAGCTTGATGTCGCCCCGTGTGCGCGAGTCGGATTTGCTGCTGCCTGAGCTCGCCATTTTGCCCATGGGCCGGGCGTGTTTTTTTATGCTTTTGCCGGTGCGTCTCGGAGGCCGCCCTCGCGCGCGCCCGGTGCGCGAGCAGCGGGTTCGCGACCGCGGCGCGGGCGCCGGGCTTGCGCCGCGGCGCCCCGCCGCCGGCCCTGCCTGCGCGGGCCGCTGCCTGGTGGCCGGCTGCCAGCGCGCAAAGGTGCAGGCCGTCGCGCGGAAGGTCGGGCGCGAGCTCCCGTCTCTCGGCTTCGTCGCGCCGCTCTCCAGGCCAGCTTCGTCGGCGTCGACCATGACGGGCACGAGCCCTCGGCGCGGGTCTCGGCCTGCCGCGCCCAGCGGCTCCGCCGCGCCATCGAGGAGCTCCTGTGGCGCCCAGAGAGGTCATGGGGCGCGCTCCTCGATTATCTTGGGGCACTGCACCTGGGTCGCGCTGCTCGAGGGGTGCTCGCTGGCCATCTTCGACGCCGTCTACCCGTTCATTCAGGCGGCGAAGGACAAGGCTCTGCCGCTCTGGCCGTCGGTCCGACGCGAGCTCTGGCACGCGCGATCGCTGCCCCCGCTGTTCGCTTGCTTCGCGGGCGCGAGGTGGCATCCCGAAGACGCGACCAGCGGCGCCCTTAGCTGGGGCCGCGGAGTCGGCCACCGTCGCTGCTTGCCCGACGCCGTCGCCGAGGTGGGCCGCGGGGCCGAAAGTTGGCGCTGCCTCTTCGAGGGCACTGCCCGCGCGCGCGGGCGCGCGCTGGGGCTGGCGAGCGCCGCCCCCGCGCCCCGCGACCCCGCCCGACTGCCGTGGGGTCGCCAAGGGCTGGGGCAAGTCCTTCGGTGAGGTCGAGCCGAACCTGCTGGTCAGCTATGGCTTGGCTGTCGCGCGCTCGTTCCCGTGGCGCGAGGCCTGCGACATCTGCCGCGCCGAGGGGTTTGCTCTGGGCTCCGCGCTCCGGTGTCAGCTTCGCGTGTCCGACTCCTTCGGCCGGCGGGTCGCCTGCCTTGTCGACGACGCGTTCTGTCGCTCGCCATCGGCGAAGGCTGCGGTGGCTCCGCCCAGCAGCGCAGCGTTTTTCAGGAGATCTGCGCCCTCTGGCTCGCCCGCAGTCCGCGCGCCATTGCCGGGTGAGCTCAACCCGTCCGACGGCCCATCGCGCGGACTGCCGAACATCAATCGCGCGGGCCCCGATGCGGCTGCTTGTCTTGGCGATCGCCTTCTCCATCAGCCCGACAGCTGCCGGCAAGAGGGGGCGCTGGCGAAGCCGTCGACGCAGAGGGGCCGCCCGCGCCTGGCCGCCCCACTGGGCGATGGCACTGGCACTTTTAGGGGGCCGCAGCCCGCGGCGGCGGCTGCCCGCCCGCGCGCGGCGCTGACGGGGTGCCGGGAGCTGCCCGTCGCCTGCTTCGAGCAGGTGTCGGTCGGCATGGGCGCGCTCCCGGACTACCAGCGGAGGGTCAACAGCTTCGTGAAGTGCTGCTCGGACCTCCGCCTGGATTGGAGCAGCTGGGCCCGTCTGGGCGCGGCTGTCGTCGCCTGCCTCGACTACCTGTACTTCCGCAGCCGCAGCGGGGGCGACGCGTCGCTGCTCCCGGCGGCTCTCATGTCCATCCTACAGCCGATCTGCCGCTGGGGCGACCTGGCGCTTTGCCAGGCGTCGAGCAGCCCGGTGGGCTGTGGCGAGCGCCTCCCGTGGCGCATGCGGGTGCTATTCGATTGGCTCGTGGTCGCGGCCGTGGC